TGACCGCAAAATCAATTCCCAATAGATCTTGTACACATGAATCTCTATTGTTGAGTCTGCTTCCTAGGAAACCTGATCTGTGAGAATTATTTTGGTCACAATCACATCACAACTTTTAGTTATCATTTAGTAATCTGAAATTTTGATGGTGATTTGTGTATTAGCCATGCTAGACTAACCTCTATAATAAACAATCCCAGATGTTAGTGGTTTCACCCAATAAAAATTTGTTTCTTACACATCCCAAGGTACATTGCAGTTCAGTGGGGAGAGGGATAGTCATTCAGGGATCCAGACATCTTCCAACTTTCGGCTCCACCCTTTTTCTAAGAGTTTTGTTGTTCAACTAATAGATGAGGAATAGAGTTTTATGGGTTGACAGGGGACACATCATTCTATTAACATTCCATTGTCCATTCCTCAGTCATGTGCCAAGTGAAGGGAGACTGGCAATCACTACACATCACATAATAGTTGTGATTTTCAACAATTCTACTTTCCCTGTGTTATGTTTTGATACCATACTTCAACTTGCAAGAACTGAAAGTTCCACCAACACTAAACATTCAAAAAGAATCTTGATCTCTCCCCTTTAATAAAAGCTTTTGTAGCATGTGTGTTTGTGTGTATCTTTAATAAATAAGGGTTTAGAAAGAAACAGAAGCACAAGATCATTACTGTGCCCAAAACAAATTAATGGTAATTCCTCAATATTTCTAATACTTAGTTGGTGTACACACTCCCCTTTACCTTGAAAATTTTTTCTTGTTGTTTTAATGCCTGAACAATTACTGATAATTATATCATAATTCCAGCAATTGGTTGTGCCAGTACTCCACCTAAACCTTCCAAAAGTTCTAGCCGATCCATTAACTCCTTTTCTTTGAACTACTCTTGACTGACTCTACTCATGACAGCCATGTTATTTTCAAAACCATAAACTATGTCTTCCTAGATTCTCTCAGCCCAGCAGGTGGTTTATTTATGTTTCTTTTCTGCAGATAGTCTTCATCTACTTTCTTAGGTCTTATGCTTTTAACCATAGCACAGGCAAGTCCTTCAACAACTCCTACAAATGTCATAGGCTTTGGGTCATTCCTGCTACAGTTTCTTTAGATCTAGTGTATTTTGCAGGAAACTATTTCTACACTCTCTTACCTGGAATTAAAATGACTGTATCAAAATAGCCATGTTTTGCATGTTTTGTTCTTGCCTTGTTTGCTTTTTTCCCCCTTGCTGTCTGCCTATTTAGATCTCAGTCATCATTCAGGGACCAGCTGAAGTCACACTTCCTGGCCCCTACTCCTTTTCTAAAAATGAACTTCAATGTCCATAAACAAGATATAAAAAGCATTAAAAAAAAATAGCACCAGGAACTCTTCTCTGACTCCTTAGTGACTTTATTCTCTATTTAGAGCCTGTACCACACAATTATCATTTAACTACACATTGCTTGTTATTGTTCCAAGTGTGTGAATGAAGGTGACAAGGATGTGGGTGGAATTGTATTATGGGGATCTGGGCTGGGTATAGATTTACAGTCATGACATAGCAATGAGTACGAGGGAAGCATGGAAAAAAGCTAGCCCTGGGAAATTACAGAAAACTAGTCGAATTTAGAGCAGGTGTCTCAAGCAAGTCCTGAGGTAGGATTTCTATGTGAACTTGAATTGAGGCAGTGGGTATTTAAACATTTATTTGAGAATTTGAAAGGGGGCGATGGGGATGAGTAAAAAACAGAACGAATTTAAATAGTAAGAGGAGGCTCAAGAGAACTTTTTTTTCCCCAAGATAAAGGAGCCTGAATGTGAGAACCCCAAGGGTGAAGAAAAGAATAGGTATTTTAAAGAGGGTAAAATTAAGATTATATTTCCCAGGGGGTTTTAAGATATTTGCTTAAGGAGTAAAATAAATTATAGTGAAATTACACCAATTTAGTAAGAATTAGTATCTGAGGAAACTTAATAGGAATGGATATCTCTGACAACAAAAAAGCCTCCAAAAATGTGGAAGGGCTGAAAGTGGACAATAAAAGTCAAACAAAGTTTCTGTCAACCCTGCTCATTTTCTCCACTTGCTACGCCGCCATAAACTTCGTGGAAGTAATTGAGAAATGATGTAAAAATGAGTGGGAAATAGTCAAGTAAGAAGATAAAGACATGTCTATATCTTAACTGAGTTAGAACTGAGCTAAATTATACCTCTGTTCTTCGAAAGAGAAATAGGCAACTGGTTAAAGTGAGTGATTGCTTCAGCTTCAAAACTTCCTAGTTTAATGGTCATTTCCTTGGAAAAAATCTCCTAGGGTTGAGGTGATTTTTACAGTGATCCTAAAGCAGAGGCATTTTAAAAAAAATTCTAGGCATAATAAGGAGATTGACTTGGTTGGATTATAATAGCTATGATTTTTTTTTAACAATGGTTTATCAGAATTAATAGGGTAGGTCCAAGTAATCCCTCTTAATAGATTATGACTTAATGGAAATAATCCTTGAGCAAAACTATCCTGTCATTTAAGGTAAGATGGACTAGAGTGGGTAATATAGAAAGCTCTGTAAAGCTCTTGCTTTGCTTTTAAGTGTGAAGTGATAGGGCCAAAGTCAAATTGTTTTTGTTTAATTTTAAATCAAAAGTGTCAAATTCTAATCAATGATTTGTGGATATATGAGTATTAGGTTATTTTTATAGAATGACTTTACATTGTTTTTTAAATTTAAATTATAATTCTTAAATAGCAGAGCACTATACATTTTATTTCTCTTGCTCCTCATAAGAACTTAATGGAACCTATTTTTTTTTCATTCTGTTCAAAGAGGTAACAGAGATTCAGAGCAGTTTAACAAGATAATTTATTGAGCAAATGTCTCAGAGCCTACCATGTGGCCATCACTGTTTTCATTAGGGTTATATACCTTGAAAATGCCTGAGCCAGTCAGAGTACTTAGTCCAAAATGTTAGCAAAACTGTAGTAGCCACACTGCATTTATTGATGGCTGCTCTCCTGGAAGTCATAGCATATAAAACTCAAGATGCAAGTCTTAGTAAACATATATACTGGGGTGTACCCAAAAACATAAGCCTTTGGGTATGACATGTAAAGGATGGTTTTAATGTTTGACAAGTGGCATGTCTCACATTTTTTATGGAGCAGGAAGATGTTTTTAAAATACCTTTGTGTATGGATTAAAGGTTTAGACTTCTTAATTACATAACCCACAGGGTGCAAGGTATTATGTCAACAACTGTGATAAAACCTAATGTTTTATGAAGCAATTTAAAATTTAATGGTTGTCTAACTTGATTTCTTTGCATTCTTTAAAGACTTTGCAAGCAAATAAATAGATGCTTTATCTCTCAGTCATAGAGACATAAGAGGATGAGTTCTAGTAGACAGGAGCTCAAAGACTGGATAAAACTCCTAAGATGATAAAAACTAAATCTTGATTTGGTCAAGCCTTACTTTGAAACACTGTTCTTGAGGGACGGTTTATAGTGTTATTTCTGGAATGTAAAAGCAGAAGTAATTTTCTAAACTGTCAACCCAGTGTTTCTTTCAAAGAAATTAATCCTACTTTAAAGTGGATTTAAGAGAATTTGCTCTTTTGACAAGTATGCCTTCAAAATGTTCAAGTCACAGATGAGGCCAGAATCTTTTAACGACTTTTTAAGGGCCTACTTGACTTGATTATTTTTATTGGGTTGAAACCTCTAGGCATGTGCATAGATGTTGAAATGCACTTAACATACCTATCTATGCAGTTTCCAATTTTTTAAGGTTAACACTGTACTTTTAGTTATTACCACAGAGAGATTAACAATGACTAGAGAAGGCAGAACAGGAAGAGGGTTTCCTTCCCAACAAATACCAGTGCTAGCAGCAAAAGCCAGAATTTGGAGGTTTTTACACAGTGATGTAAACACAGTTTCCATGGTCCATGGCCACACGGCCTTCCTGCTCACATTGCTCAGGTGGTCAGACTAGTCAAGTGACTCTGCAGTAAGGACACAGTCCTTAGTCAATCTTATGTGTCTGCCCTCTGCTCTTGAGTCATGGTTACTGGCTTTAAGAGCCAGGGCAAATGGTCTGGAAGTACAGCGGACACAGAACACCATCATCGGATGCATCATAAACCGAACAGTCAAGGCCGCCCCACCACAGAGACGGTTTTTATTTTCTTGGCTCGGCCATGTGCTCTGCGGCAAGGCCACGAAGAAGCGGTCTCCACTCTGCCTTCGGGTGGGTGACACTCATGCCCGGGTGGGCGTTTCTTCCCTTCTTTCAGAACCGAACGGGAGAACGGACCAAAGTGTGTCTTAGGAAAGTTACCTGTGCAGCCAATTCTAAGTGACAACAGACGTGACACTCCGAGAAGAAACACTGCGCCCTGGCTGCCAAAGGGCGGTCCCTAAAAGTGCAGCCGCGGCCCCACGCTCCACAGGGAAAGCCTCGAAGCCGCTGGGCCTTTCATTCACCGCGGCCCCAGCGCTAATTCATGGACGCCGGAGAGCCAGGAAGGCGCCCGTGCGCGGGTTCCCGCCTCTTCTGGGTCGCGCGCTGAAATCAAACGCGAGTCGGGCTCGGCGGGCGCCGCGCAGCGACGCGCGCGCTCAGCTCCCCGCGCCGCCGAGCTGCAGCCGCCGCCAGCCCGCCGCGGAGCTGGGCGGGGCCGCCTGGAGGCCGCGGGGCAAGGCCGGCGGAGGAGGAAGGGACGCGGGCGGCGCGCTCTGCGCAGGCGCGCGGCGCCCCGCCCCCCCAGCGTCGGCTCCCGGGCGGGCGGCTCGGGCCCTCCCACTCTCCCCCGCGCCGCCTCGCGGCCCCAGCCCTCGCTTCACCCCGACGCCCCGGCGCGCGCGTCCTCCCGCCGGCCTGCAGGCCCGGGCCTCCGCCTGCTTGCCCGCCGCTGCTCCTCGCGGCCCCGGCTCGCGTTCACGCTGTCGCCCGGGCCGGCGCGGCCGCGGGCCACCGCTCCCCCTCCCACACCCACCCCGCCCCTCCCCGCCTTTTCCGCCCTCCCGTCTCCCTCCCTCGGCCCGCCGCCGCCGCTCCCGATGAGGTGATGGCAACGGCCAACTTCGGCAAGATCCAGATCGGGATTTACGTGGAGATCAAGCGGAGCGATGGTGAGCGGCGCCGCGCCCGCGCCGGCCGGGCTCCGCATTCGGGTGTGCGCGGAGGGGACGCGGCGCCGGCCGCCCATTGATTGCTCCGCCGGGCTGTGGGGGCGGGAAGGCGGCGGCCGTGGCGCTTTTGTGTGCGGCGTGTGCGCCGGGGAGGCCGGCGTGGGGTCCGCCCCGGGTGCCGCCGCGGGGCCGGGGACGGGCCGCGGCCCGGCGGGGGGTCTGGGCCGGGGGAGGCCGGCGGGAAAGGGCCGGGGGTCGCGGGCCGCGTCTCTGGGGGCTGCGGGCGGGCGCGGCGGACGCTTCCGGACCGGGGGGCCCTGCCGTCTCCATCCTCCCGCGGGGCCGGCGCGGGGGGCGGGGGGCGGGCTGGTGTGGGGAGGACCCGGCCTAACGTCCCCCCCAATCCCCGCGGCCTTTTCATTCCCCGGTGTCTCTCGGAGGGAGTGGGGGCGGGGAGAGCGTGGCGACCGTGATTTCGGCGTTGCGAGCACCGGCTGCTGGTCAGAGGCCAAGGTGGGGGTAAAGGCCAACTCCGGGGGTTCAAACTGCTGTGCGGGCGTCAGGCGGCTTCGGCTTTGGTTTCTGGAGCACGCCTCTCCCGACTCGCCTCTTCCTTCTCTCCCCTCGGGTAGCCCGTGTTGGGAGAAGGATGCGGAGATGTCATGCTCAGCCTTGAATGAGGGTGGGGGAGCAGGGAGAAGAAGTGTTCCATAAGCTGCTCAAAGGTGATGAGACCGAAAAGGGGAAGCGGCGGGCTGAGCCAGCCGGCGAGGCGGCCGGGGCGCTGGGGTGGGCTACCGGATGTTGATATTTTCACACCCTGCGGGGAGGTAACCCGGGGAGCGGTGTAAGTGGCGGTGGAAACACCTGCTTAATTTTTTTTTTTTTTTAATTTGAAAGTCTTAGACGTGTGCTTTTCTATAGGTTTCTCTTGGGAAACCTCTTGGGATGTGGATCAGCTAGACTTGGATAGAATTTATTAAAGGAGAAACACATGGAGGGAAATACGTAAAATTCCCTTCTTTCAATCCCAGTATTGAAAACTTGTGGTTTTGATGCTGTCTCCCTCGTACCCATCCCTTTTATTTATGGCTTATTTGTTATGGTCTGGCCTTGTCAATAGTAACGTTGCTCACTCGTCCACATCCTTTTGTTTCTACCATGTCTGACTAACTTATGTGAAGCTATGTTGACTTTCATGTTATCTGTAGGATGTATTGGAAGACTCTGTATAGCAAATAATTTCTTGCCTTCATTATACTTGAGATAATTTGTGATAACATCTATGTAGAAATACAAGATGCATTATACCTGTGTAATGTATAGATAAATTATACCACTTAGAGCTTTGGAAGTTACCAGTAAAACTAGTGGGGAAGAGACGTGTACTTTAATTGGGTTGGGGATTTTTTGTATTTTCTCTTCCAATTACTTTTCCTCAGTGTATTTTTTTTTAGGTGAGTGTGTGTGGGTTCACTACTAGCAAAAATTGGATTTGCGTATTGGAATTGGGGGTGCAATAAAATATAAGTTCTTTTATTCTAAACCTTTATTGACTATAGGCCTTAACATCTATAAAATCTTATGAGAAAAAGAAAACAGTATCATGACATTTGAAAGGTTTGCATTTTAATTTTTTTTTGGACTAAGATTTAAACATATCATATATGAAACAATTTTGCTTCTTTTGGGGTTCTAGGATATTTCAGCCTTCATCTTCTGCCTATACCAGAAACAATGACATGTCAGAACTTTGTGTTATGACATAAGTGCTAGTAACCTAAAATCCGCATTTTATTTATTTTTTTAAAGATTTATTTATTTATTTGTTTGTTTGTTTGTTTATTTATTTATTTATACAAGCACTGGGTACAGTCAGAAGTGCAGGAGCGTGAGGGAGCAGAACAGGCAGACAAACGAAGTACACTGCTGAGGGGAGCAGCCAGAGCAGGAGAGGTCTGTGCGCCATGTGGGACTCTCACCCAGGATCGAACCTGCGATGCAGAGGCTCCAGGCAGCTTTGCAACCCAGCACTCAACCGCTGCTCCACCGGGGAGGCCCTAAAATCCACATTTTAAAAAGTTTTCCCATGAAAAATAACACAGTTGGTATGGTGCTAACCTATACTCACATACATATTTATGCATCTCAGATATACAATTGAAATTGGCCGAAGGGGAAAGATAACAAGAGACCTTGGAAAGAAGGGAATGATCATTTGTATTGGGTGGTGGTTTCATAGGAAATTGATACCTGGGAGACTTCCTTCAAGCTTTCCGTTTTTCACTTTAAAGACCCCTTCTTGTTTCCTTCCATATCTATTGGATAAAACACTAGTGGTTATAGTAACAAAAATAAACTTTGCGGGGTCTTCCTGGTGGCGCAAATGATTAAGTCTCAGCACTATGAAGCGATCTACAGCCACTGCAGCACAGGTTCTATCCCAGGCCAGGGAGCTGACCCATATGGCGCAGCAGACCCTCCTGTCTTGCCGGCTGCTCCCCTCAGCAGTGTATTTCGGTGGATCTACCTGTTCTGCTCCCCGCACCTCTGGCCTACAAGCCAGCTCTTGTGTGCATACATAAGTAAAATAAATATAAAAAAATAAACTTTGCAGTGCCTGATACAAGAGAAATCACATAAGTGAAGAACTGCTTCAGACTGCTATTAACTGGTGACTTGATGTTTTCCTGCATGCTTGCTAATGGTGATCCCTGTCCTTGCTTCAGGCATACTTCTCCTATCAGTGATGCTCATATATTAATCATACGTATTTCAAGGGCAAACATGTAAACTAAAAGAGATGCATTCCTATCTTTCAAGAGCCTGCTCAAAACTGATCCCAGTAGAACTTCACTAATTACTAAAACTAGGTGACCCATCAACCTTTGACTTCCTAAGTCATTCTTTAGCATTTATGAGATAGCATATTCCTTTAAGTGTTAATTTTTGGGTACATTTCTTTTAAAATTTTCAAGCTGCACTGGAGGAGGAATGCTGTAAAGAATGCAATTGAGGCATGAAAGGGTACACATGTATACTTCAACCAGAGCCCTCGGGTCTTACAAGATTAAAATACTTACTAATAAACTTAAATTCCCAGAATTCATTTATGTAGCCCCCCACCCCCATATGCCTACAGAATTCCTTGCGTTCAGTTTTTGTGTGACTCATGTATCATTGGATTTTTGCTTTTCAAACATTTTAATTAAACATTCAGAAGAAATGTTACCCAGGTAATGAAACTTCCATCTGTGCTCATCCTGTGCTGCCACCTCCATATTCTGGTCTCCCACATTTTGGACAGGCCTCTTGGTTCAAGAGCCTCAAAGTTGATTAAAATTGAGTGATCTGCTAAGGCCGATCTCACTTTTCTGCTTTTCTTTCTTTTTTTTTTTAAAAGAATTTTTTTTTTCTTATAGAGGCATGTTTTATTTATTTGTTTGTTTGTTTGTTTTGTTTATACATGCACTGGGCACAGTCAGAAGCACGGGAGGGTGAGAGAACTCTCCAGAGCCAGAGCAGGGAGCAGAGCAGGCAGAAGGACCGAAGTACACTGCAGAGGGGAGCAGCGGGCGGCAGGAGGTCTGCGCACCATGTGGGACCCTCCTCTGGTGGCCGGGGAGCAGCTGGGGATCGAACCGGAGCCGCAAAGGCCGCGGGCAGCCTCGCAGCCCAGCGCTCAACCGCTGCGTCACCGGGGAGGCCCACTTTTCTGCTTTCCTAAGGTTAGAAGTGACAGAGGTTAGGATTGGACTTCTGATGTTGTTCCCAGCCACAATAGAGAACCTGGTATAAAAAAGGACTTTTTTCTGGAAATGGGCAATCATATGTGATTTATTTTCTTGCATGTGTCTTCCTATTGTTTTTCTGATGCATTTCCTTTTCAGAATCCAGTGACTCTGGACTTGGGAGTCCAATGAAAATCTTGCTGTTGTGTAGCTAGTCTTTATTGGAAAATTAAAAAACTGCACTCCCTGTTAAAATAGTTATCTGTTCTACAGTAACTCTGACTATCCTTTAGAGGTTGGGGTACTGATGAGAAATGTTTCAAATATTTGAAAGCTGCTGTTAAGATGAGTTGTTCTTTGGGATCTCTTTATCATGGTATTGATACAAGTGATCTGAAGAGAACCATAGACTGTTTCAACCAAAAATATACTTGGAGTTATGTAGTTCTCAGTTTTGTAAATGTGGAAAATGAGTCCCAAGGCACCGTAAGTGGCTTTGTCTAGATTCATGTAGTTTGTCAGTAGTATCCAGGAATCTGTCTTGCTTAATCAATAGCATAGAAACCAGAATATCTCTTAAGAACTGTCACAGTAAAGGGAAGAATTTTCTGGTAATTGGGGACCGTATACAGTTTTCTATAGCTCAAGCAAGATGTAGGAAATTATTTCTCACTTATGGGAAAACCACTAGAGAGCAATGTTATGGGGCTTGATTGGGATGATCTGATACAAAGTGATATAGTACAGTGAGTAGAAGGCATAAAATCTAAAACTGCGGGAGGAAAATATTCCTGTTTCTTAATTAAACCTTGGTGGAAAGAGTGCTTTACTTCAGTATCTGAAATTCAGAGCAAATTGAAGATTTCAAAGAACCTATCAGGAATTTTGGATTAGGGCAGGCAGCGGTTAGAAAAAAATATTAAGTGAGCTAATTCTTTACATCCCTTGCCACATTTGTTCTTCAACTAATTCATCTTTACATGTAGTTATAAAGTCTTTTGGAGAATAGACTGGTGGGATTTAGTAACTAAAGGTGAACCATACAGCTGTGCATTTAGTTTTACTGTAGGTAGAGTTATGTTACTCTGATTAAGGAGTGACTAGAATGGGGAAATTTGTGAATTAGTAATTTACATGGTGACTAGCAGGACAAAATGGCTCCATTTTAGGCCTTCATAATTTCCCAAGTATCTTATTTAATAGATCTTCACAGAAAGCATGTGAGGTAAGCAGGCTAGGGAGCTGTCCAATACATCATTTTACAGATGA